CTTGGGATTCGACAACACCAGGCAGGTGCAATGCGCCATGTTCATCGTCCACCAGCCCACCAACAAGTAGATTATCGCGTGCTTTCTCAGGGCACAACAAATTAGCCGACTTGAAAGACTTCCTTGCAATGCGCTATGTTTATCGTCCACCAGCCCACCCAGTGAATTAAGGTTGGCAGCGTGCTAGGGAGTTAAAAAGGCTGAGGGTGAATCTCGACCATCATATCCGCGGGCTTAATTTAACTCAGAACTGGAGGCAAGACACGACTAGGATTTATGATAGCTCTAGAGCCAGGAATGTATAGGAAAGGAGTCTCGAATTCCTTTTCTTTTCACTGTGTAATCCTCATGTATGCTCTGCACAGACAGAGTTTGTACCATTTTTTTCTGAATAAATGTTCGGACATTCTTCTCTACTTCGGGCGCTCTTGGGGCCAGATCGTCTTGTGCCGGTTAGTTTATAGTTCTGCAGTAAGGCTGTCATGACAGATGATTATATATCGCATCCATATATCTGATCATGTTGTGTTGTTACTTGGGTTGACCTCAAATTGGCTAGAAATGTCGACATCTTATAGCAGTGAACTACATAAGAAGACGGGGAAATTAGCATTGAAATATATTTGGGCTTTGATGTATGATATCAACTGCTAGTTGAACATGTTGAAAATTACTTCTCAGTGTGCAGATAGTCCAGCGGACGAATGAAATTGTTGTGGAGTTTCGAGACCGAATAATCGTATACAATGTATGTTGGTATGAAAAAACTGAAGCACTGTGATAAAATGAAAGAAGTGTTCCATCTGCCCCAGCCTAAATTTCCTCTATCCCACACTTTTATTAAAAAAAAATTTACATGGATTATAGAAAATTATCTACATATTATAAAATAATAACAAACGGCAAAGCCTTGCGACATAAACCTTCAAATATTTCCCTTGAAACTGAAGTTAGGAAGATCATTGAGACAACGAAGTGTGTTTAAAAGTTGGTAGAGCTAGCTAGAGAGACCATGTCACAATAAGTGTCATGGTCTTGACCAACGTCAATAATCGTCATTACTGCGGTTTTCTGCGAAGCCATCTGTCTACAGATATGCATATACATATGCATATATCTTCACCAGCACACTTCTTTGCATGATAGTCAATGCAGGTTTGTTGTCTCTCTGAAGGCAAGCGATTTCTTACACAACAACAACCGAAAACCAGAAAGTACGTAGTAAAGAGGGTGAGAGAGCGAAAGTTGTTCAAGCCTGAGAAAGAGGGGTGAAGCATTACATGAACTGACCGATCTTTTAAATTCTGATTGTTGTCAAGTAGAATAACATGTATGTTGTCATGTGATAAAATCTTTTATACTATATAAATTGCACATATGCAACTAATGCTGAAATGTTGTTTTTTTGGGTTTTTTCCCACAAAATTAAAAATCTTCTTAATATAATGGAGGAAAAAATTGATTTAAGAAAGTCTCCCTTTGTCATAAACTCAATTTCCTATCATTTTATTTCTCAATCCACATATTATAATTTTTAATTCGAATGTATGTCGTGATGCAATATGCATGACTGAGGAAGCTCCGTTGTTCTTACGCTACATCCAAAATGCATCACAAGAGCTCCATCCTCAAACCTGTGGCTCCCTCATCTTCTATCCGCGGGACTTCCTACTACATAAGCCCGACGAGCTTCTATTCCTGCAGAATCTCGAGTAACTGTACACTCTCTCTCTCTCTCTCACAGCGCATCTTGCCTCGAAGCCTTTCCAGCCCTTGCTGCAGAAATGGCCTCAGTCGTTGCATCGTTCGCCGTGGTGACCCCTGTTGCAGCTCTCGCTGCTTCCAGCTCCACCAAGAGCTCAGATGTCATCTCTGTGAAGGCCGGACTCAAGGCTGGCGTCTTCGGAGGCAAGAGCGAATGGCAATCCAAGACCGCAACCAACGGCAGCAGGGTGTCATGCATGCAGGTAATTATGGATTGGACTTTAGTTGTCAGATAGAGAGCAATGCGCACGATCTCTTTGGGATTGTACAGTGAATTTTCGTGGAATGAAGAAGTGCTTCCGCCTCGTTCTGTTTCTGATTTCCTGAGGCGTTGCGAATGGCAGGTGTGGGAGCCATACAACAACCTGAGGTTCGAGACCCTGTCCTACTTGCCCGCTCTGAGCCAGGATGCTCTGGCCAAGCAGATCGACTACGTCATCAAGTCTGGCTGGGCTCCCTGCATTGAGTTCGACACCGTAAGTTCTTCATCATATTAGTTCTTCATTTCGACATTTTCTTTGCGTCTGTTAGTGCTGGACCGCGAAGTGTATGCGTAAGTTTTGAAGATGCGATCACCTCGAGGGGCGTGGTTTTTACCGGTCCTGTTGTCATTGTGTGTTCTACAGCAAGGAGCCGTGACCCGTGAGGGAAGCAGAATGCCCGGATACTACGATGGTCGCTACTGGACCATGTGGAAGCTGCCCATGTTCGGATGCACAGACTCTGCTTCAGTATTGAGGGAGATCGAGGAATGCAAGAAGTTGTACGGACACAAGTGCTACATCAGGTGCTTGGGATTCGACAACACCAGGCAGGTGCAATGCGCCATGTTCATCGTCCACCAGCCCACCAACAAGTAGATCACCGTATGCTCTCTCAGGGCACTACAAATTAGCCGACTTGAAAGCTTTCCATGCAATGCGCTATGTTTATCGTCCACCAGCCCACCCAGTGAATTAAGGTTGGCAGCGTGCTAACAGAGTTAAAAGCCTGAGGATGAATCTCGACGATCATATCCGCGGGCATAATTTAACTCAAAACGGGCGGCAAGACACGACCAGGTTTATGATAGCTCTAGAGCCAGGAATGTAGAGGAAAGGAGTCCCAAACTCCTTTGTTTTCACTGTGTAATCCTCATGTATGCTCTGCACAGACAGAGTTTGTACCATTTTTTTCTGAATAAATGTTCGGACATTCTTCTCTACTTGGGGTGCTCTTGGGACCAGATCGTCTTGTGCCGGTTTGTTTATAGTTCTTCATTAAGGCTGTCATGACAGATGATGATATATCGCATCCACATATCTGATCATGTTGTGTTGTACTTTGGATTGACCTCAGAATTGGCTAGAAATGTCGACACTTATAGCGGTGTACTACAATAGAAACTGATGATGGGGTAAATACGGTTCTATGTTCTTGGACTTTGATGTATTATATCAACTGTCAGTAGAACTTTGAAGTCAGGAAGGCTATTGTTATAAAATATTTGTATAATTGTTGGAAGGAGTACCAAAGAGACTGCGTCATAATATGTGTACTGGTCACGACCAACGTCAATGATCGTCATTACCGCAGTTATCTGCGAAGCCATCTGTCGATACACATGCAATTCACCCGCACCTTTCCTTGCATGATAGTCAATGGAGGTATGTTGACCCTCTGTAGACAAACAATTAATCTTACACAATAACAACCAGTAAATCGAATGTGCGTAGATGAGGGTAATGAGAGCAAAGAGGGTAAAAGACCGAAATCTGTTCAAGGCCGAGAAAGAGCGGCGGAGTTCACTTAAAGGTAGGGAAAACGCTTTCTTCAGTCAACTCTTCTGCATAAGTGGCACATAGTATGATTCAGAGGAAATAACCATTGATTGATTTGAACCTGAAACATGGGCCATTACTGTGGCGTCCACAGTGTCGTCATGGGGCTTCATGACAACCCACTCAGAAAATGCCACGTACAGCTCTCCTTCCGGTCCGTAGCAAGTTCAGGACAGTAGTTTACTGTCCTTAGGCACTGTAAAACTGGGTTCTCCTACTAACTTGATATCTCAATGTTACACAGGTAACTGTCCAAACCCCCCGGCCAGGGAAGTAGCAGGCCCAGGCCATCGCTGAACTCTCGGTGATGTTCTAATGGAATCGGGGGACAAGTGTCACAGCAACTTTTATTGGTAGACCCCATCAACCCATTGACTTACAATTCCAAAATGCTAACGACGGGCTATTCTGAAAAGCATCACGATGTACCACATTGCATCGAAATATATGTAACAACATAACATTCGAAGAACCATCACCTAATGTGATTACTATGCTATGGACAAGTAAAGTTCTATTTGAAAAATGGAAACTGCTATGGGAATGGGAATTAATTTCATTTGGTTGAAAAATACACCAAGCAGCCATATAAATGTACAAATCTAGTCTAGACCTACGTCCTTTATCATGTTCTATCACAGTGTATGCCTAATACTACTTTGAACAGAAAATACTTTGATATACGCTGACTAGTCTGCATACTAACATTGAAAAAAAGAGATTTGCAGTTTCTTTTAGAAGCACGATAATTGAGATATTGATAAGTGCAACGATACATTTTCAAGCGTATGTGCTTTGAGGAAAATCTGTCACTAGTATCGGCTTCAAAACTGCCTCCTCTCGCACATTGGCACAATTTACCCGGTGTCCAACTCTAGTTCGAACCCAAGTTTTGTACTGTGGATTTGTCGGATTCCTAGGGCTAGGATTTCTGAGGTTCTAGGCGTTTACCCACTAGGCGTTTACATCTTGGGCTTCAGTTACTTTACATCACACTAACTGACCCTGTTCTTATAATATTCGTGGAGGTCTGTCTCGAGGGTCTGTGCTTTAAAATTCCTCAATTAATCGACTTCTGGTGCTTTCGTGTACAAGGTCAACCAAGTAGATTTTTACAGACTGCAGAGCTCGTTACTGTGGTGGTCGTATTGTACGGAGCGGATTCTACCTGTTCAGTGACCCATGGCCGTACCATGTCGCTCCTGAACGAAAGTGAGTATGAAGTCAATTAGAGAAAGCTGGAGTTCATAAACATATTCGCAAATATTCTGTACCTCGACGGTGCCCGGTGCTTTCTGATCCTCGGGGAATCCTGATCTCAGCTCCATCTTTAGCCTGTGGTTCTCCATCGTTATCTTCCCACCGTTATCCCTTGCATTGTCTTACAATCGCACTATTTAGTTTCTCGGAAGCTCCCTTCCAGTAGTGCAGTCACATCTCTTCATCATTCATCTCACTGCTCGTTCTCGAGCTCCAGCCTTCACAATGGCTTCCGTCGTTGCATCTTCTGCCATTGTGACCCCGGTCTCAGCCCTCGCTGCCTCCTCCACCACCAGGAGCTCTGAGATTGTGTCCGTCAAGGCTGGTCTCAAGGCCGGAGTTTTGGGCGGAAAGACCGAATGGCAATCCAAGACCCAAACCAATGGTAGCCGTGTGTCCTGCATGCAGGTATGACTGCGTTCACAACTGATTGCGAGATTAAGGGATGTGTGCGATGTTTTCAGGTCGCTGTGTATATGTGGAATGTCGGTGAATGGTTGAACTCGCCTGGCTGGAACTTCTCCATCTGGTGATTCTCGAGTCGCGGCTACCCTAATTACTCGTGATTGATGTGTCCGCCCAGGTGTGGGAGCCATACAACAACCTGAGGTTCGAGACCCTGTCCTACTTGCCCGCTCTGAGCCAGGATGCTCTGGCCAAGCAGATCGACTACGTCATCAAGTCCGGCTGGGCTCCCTGCATTGAGTTCGACACCGTAAGTTCTTCATCATATTAGTTCTTCATTTCGACATTTTCTGTACGTCTGTTAGTACTGTACCGCGAAGTGTATGCATAAGTTTTAAAGAAGAGATCACCTCGAGGGCGTGGTTTTTACCGGTCCTGTTGTCATTGTCTGTTCTGCAGCAAGGAGCCGTGACCCGTGAGGGAAGCAGAATGCCCGGATACTACGATGGTCGCTACTGGACCATGTGGAAGCTGCCCATGTTCGGATGCACCGACTCTGCTTCAGTGTTGAGGGAGATCGAGGAATGCAAGAAGTTGTACGGACACAAGTGCTACATCAGGTGCTTGGGATTCGACAACACCAGGCAGGTGCAATGCGCCATGTTCATTGTCCACCAACCCACCAACAAGTAGATCACCGTATGCTCTCTCAGGGCACTACAAATTAGCCGACTTGAAAGTTTTCATTGCAGTGCGCTGTATTCATCGTCCACCAGTCCAACCAGGAAGTGAAGGTCGGCTGCGTGCTAACAGAGGTAAAATGAGGATGAATCTCGACGATCATATCCGCGGGCTTAGTTTAACTCACGACTGTAGGCGAGCACGACAAGGATTTAGAATTGCTCTAGAGCCAGGAATGTAGAGTAATGGAGTCTCCTAATCTCTCTTTCTCAATGTGTTATCGTCAATTGCTCTGTAGGGACAGAGTTTGTACCATTTTTTTCTCAATAAATGTTCGGACATTCTTCATTACTTTGGGGTCTCTTGGAGCCAGATCGTCTTGTGCCGGCAAGTTTATAGCTCTGCATAGAGAGTGTTACGACGGAGGATGATATATCACATCCATACATCTGATCATCTTGTGTTACTTGGATTGACCTCAGAATTGGCTAGAAATGTAGACATCTCGTAGCGGTGAACTACAGTAGAAAGGAAATACGGGGAAACTGACTTTAAGATTCTTGGTTCTTTGCTGTATTAACATCAACCGTCAATTGAAAACTTCGAAAAGTATACTCGTCAGTGTGAAAAGCGTACAGCGGGCAAATGAAATTGCCGAAGGGATATTACGAAACTACTCGATCGTAAACAATGTATGTCGGGATAAAAAACTAAAGCAGTGTGAAAAAATGAAAGATATGTTACATCTGCCCCGTCCTGGTTTACAAGAAATATTTACTAAAGATAGAGAAAATATACATATTACAAAGCGCAAAGAATGTGAAATAAACCTTCATTAATTACTGGTGAAACTGAAATTATGCAGGTTGTTGAGACAACGAACTGATTTCGAAAGTTTGAAAAGCTGGTTAGGGAGACTACATGTAAGTATAATGGGCCTGACCAACGTCAATGATCGTCATCACTGCGGTTATCTGCGAAGCTATCTGTCTAGACATATGTAATCCACCAGCACCTTTCCTTGCATGACAGTCAATGCAGTTTTGTTGTCCATCTGTAGGCAAACGATTCATCTTACACAACAACAACCGAAAACCCGAAAGTACGTAGATGAGGGTAAAGAGGGTGAAAGAGCGAAAGTTGTTCAAGCCCGGGAAGAGCGGTGAAGCATTGCACGATCTGACCGATCTTTTAAAATCTGATTGTTGCCCAGTAGAATAACATGACATGTTTGACAAATCGAACCACTTTTTCTGTATATTGGCATGTGATAAAACCTTTTATATGATATAAATTGCACAAATGCAACCAATGCTGAAATGTAGTATTCTTGGTTTTTTCCCCACAAATCTTTTCTCTTCTTAATAGAATAGAGGAAAACTTTGATTTAAGAAAGTCTCCCTTTGTCATAAATTCAATTTTCTATCGTTTTATTTTTCAATCCACATATTGTTATTTTAATTCGAATGTATGTTATGATGAAATATGCATGACTGAGGAAGCTCCGCTGTTCTTCCGCTACATCCAAAATTCATCACAAGAGCTCCATCCTGAAACCTGTGGCTCCCTCATCTTCTATCCGCGGGAATTCCTACTACATAAGCCCCAGAAGATCCTGCTTCTGCAGGATCTCGAGTACCTGCACTCTCTCTCACGCAGCGCATCTTGCCTCGAAGCCTGTCCAGCTTCGCTGCAGAAATGGCCTCAGTCGTCGCATCGTCCGCTGTGGTGACCCCTGTTGCAGCTCTCGCTGCATCCAGCTCCACCAAGAGCTCCGATGTCATCTCTGTGAAGGCCGGACTCAAGGCTGGCGTCTTCGGAGGCAAGAGCGAATGGCAGTCCAAGACCGCAACCAACGGCAGCAGAGTGTCATGCATGCAGGTAATTTTGGATCCATCTTTACTAGTCAGATAGAGAGCAATGTGCACGATCTCATTGGGAATGTACAGTGAATTTTCGTGGAATGGAGAACTGCTTTCGCCTCGTCCTGTTTCTGATTCCGGAGGCGCTGGGAATAACAGGTGTGGGAGCCATACAACAACTTGAGGTTCGAGACCCTGTCCTACTTGCCCGCTCTGAGCCAGGATGCTCTGGCCAAGCAGATCGACTACGTCATCAAGTCCGGCTGGGCTCCCTGCATTGAGTTCGACACCGTAAGTTCTTCATCATATTAGTTCTTCATTTCGACATTTTCTGTACGTCTGTTAGTACTGTACCGCGAAGTGTATGCATAAGTTTTAAAGAAGAGATCACCTCGAGGGCGTGGTTTTTACCGGTCCTGTTGTCATTGTCTGTTCTGCAGCAAGGAGCCGTGACCCGTGAGGGAAGCAGAATGCCCGGATACTACGATGGTCGCTACTGGACCATGTGGAAGCTGCCCATGTTCGGATGCACCGACTCTGCCTCAGTGTTGAGGGAGATCGAGGAGTGCAAGAAGTTGTACGGACACAAGTGCTACATCAGGTGCTTGGGATTCGACAACACCAGGCAGGTGCAATGCGCCATGTTCATTGTCCACCAGCCCACCAACAAGTAGATCACCGTATGCTCTCTCAGGGCACTACAAATTAGCCGACTTGAAAATTTTCCATGCAATGCGCTATGTCCGTCGGTCCCAGCCCACCCAGTAAATCAAGGTTGGCACGTGCTATCAGAGTTGAAATGGCTGAGGATGAATCTCGACGATTATATCCGCGGGCTTAGTTTAATCACAACTGGAGGCAAGACACGACTAGGATTTATATTATCTCTAGAGCCAGAAATGTAGAGGAAAAGAGGCTCCACATTCCTGTATTTTCCATTGTGTAACCGTTATGTATGCTCTGTACAGACAGAGTTTGTACCATTTTTTTCTGAATAAATGTTCGGACATTCTTCTCTACTTCGAGGTCTCTTGGGGGCCAGATCGTCTTGTGACGTTTATTTAAAGTTCTGCGTTAAGTCTCTGACTACAGATGATGATATATCGTATCCATACATCTGATCATCTTGTGTTCCTGCTTGGATTGACCTCAGAACTGGCTAGAAATGTTGGCATCTTATAGAGGTAAACCACGATAGAAACGAAAGACGGGGAAATTACGTTTTCAGTGTTCTTGATTCATCTCTACTCGTCAGATAGAGAGCATTATCCACGATCTCATGGGGAATGTTCAATGAATTTTCGTGGAAAGGAGAATTGCTTTCGCCTCGTCCTGTTTCTGATTTCCTCAGGCGCTGGGAATGGCAGGTGTGGGAGCCATATAACAACCTGAGGTTCGAGACCCTGTCCTACTTGCCCCCTCTGAGCCAGGACGCTCTGGCGAAGCAGATTGACTACGTCATCAAGTCTGGCTGGGCTCCCTGCATTGAGTTCGACACCGTAAGTTCATCGACCAGCTCAGTGTCCTGAATAAACAGCGTGAAATCGCGGAAGTAGACTTGGAATGGAATGTCATAAGAATTTTCCGTGATTGAGGATGAGAGGATCAATTTCTGACTTGGAACTTTCATCTGTGTTTTCCACAGCAAGGAACCGTGACCCGCGAGGGCAGCACCATGCCCGGATACTACGATGGCCGATACTGGACCATGTGGAAGCTGCCCATGTTCGGATGCACTGACTCTGCTTCAGTGTTGAGGGAGATTGAGGAGTGCAAGAAGTTGTACGGACACAAGTGCTACATCAGGTGCTTGGGATTCGACAACCACCAGGTAGGTGCGATGCGCCATGTTCATTGTCCACCAACCCAGCCAGTAAACCATCGTAGGCAACCTCAAGTGCAGTTTTTCAACTCGGGGATTTGCAGCTGAGAACCTCAAATTTGACGACGACAACGTAGACACCATTCAGTGAATTGCGTGAAGGGAAGATTCGATCATTTGTGAACAAAGCAGACCGAAGCGGGATATGCAGAGGCTGCCAACTGCGAACGTTCATCAACTCAAACCCCAGTTGCCCCGCGCGCATCGCTCAACCTTACTCCTGTGCTACGTCCTGTGCTTGCCGAGATGAGTAGCAGATCAGGAGAGCGCAGGGTTGTGGTTTTAATCAAACCTGGTTATCGACCCGTGGGACGTAGTAGTTTTGGAAATTGAGTCGAGGAAAACAATGTCGAAAGTGATTCGTAATAAAAAATTTGTAAGTATCTTGTAAGCTATACTTCTCGCCTCTGTTGAATGGCCTGTTCAGGTTACTTCAGATTGCCCTTACCAACTCTGTATCAGTTGTTGACATATATGCACTCTGTAAAGTGTGTTGAAAACTTTGATAATCACGAATCTCAATTTAAACGAAATAGTGCCAAGAAGTTAATGTGAACATTATTTGTTCTTGTACTACGCTGTCCACAGTAATTTTGAAGATTATGAGTTTCGCAACATTTAACAGATGAAAAACTGTGCCGATTATGTGTAGCAAGATTCAATGTTCCCGTACGGTGCATTTAAAATGTTGACATAGTTAATCACTAAACATACGTCCGTTTACGAAAGTATAGCTTGCCGATATATCTACGCAAGTTCTTATATATATCTATTGCCGATTTATAGCTTGTTCTAATAACTCATTTCAAGTAAATAGGGTCTACATTTCAAATTTAGGTAAACACAAAAAACCATAAAACATTGTCACTTTATCAGAGAGCTAGAAGAAGTTCTCAATGACACTAATAGATTTTCTCTCACTAAAGCTTGTTCCCGTGAAATTGGCCCCTAGGTCTGAACCCCGTATATGCAATGTCGTAGTGTTTGTGCAGTGTGTGAGTGATTCTCAGCTGCATGTGGAATTCCTGCAAGAATTTGTAAACTTTTTACGCATTTCCGCTGAAACCAAAACAATAAGCAAAAAGTATCATATCATCATATCAGCAAGTAATAATAGATTTACTCAAACTCTTTCATGCTTACAAATAATGTCACTCATATTACCTAATAATTTAACAGTAGAGTAACATAAGGATGATATCTCTATGCAAACAACTAAATTTAAGACCTCTTTTACACCAATTCCTCTCACTGACTCACATAAGTGAATGTACAATCATCTTATATCAAACGGTGTTCAATTACTGGCTTCAACGTCTACAAATGTAACATGTTACTCCGAGATTAATTATAGATTTTTCATAATTGATTGATTACCAGACATATCATTGCTTTGTTTAAATCAATCGCCAGACATGAAACCATTTCATGTTGTGTCTTACGTCTAAGCAAACATCATATTTCTAATGATATCTTGAAGAGTCATACTTTGCCGTGCAAACAAACAAAAGGTCATATGGATGCTTGATGAATTTACTATGGTTTTGAGTAACAAGTGAATAATGAAGATGCACATGACTGAGGGAAGACATAACCTCATCTTAAAGCTTATGCGAATCGATTTGATGTGATTCATGATTCAACGAAGATTATGTATAAGAATTTTTTATAGGAAAATCTCCACATTGCAGTATACGGCGTAATTTTCAAAAGATTTTTTAATATATCAAGAATTATTTTTCGCACTCGTCAAAATCCACATTATCGATTGATGCAGAAATTCAACACATATAAGTCCAATTCTGCTTTCAGAACTAAAACCTGGCTTTATTTTCATCACCGGTTGTAAATGAGAAGAATATTGATCCTTCTGATTTTCAAATTTTGACTATAAATAACTTTTGGTAGATATGTTACAGACATGTAGTAAATCTAATATCATGCAGTGCTAATACTAATTATAGCGAGTCATTTGAGTTACAATCTATGTAATCGCACTGAAAATTTTGCTCATCCTCCCGATGATGAAGTATGTGGACGTAATTAATTAAAATGACACTTAAGGAAAAGGAATTTTTAGCATAATCAAGATGCCAACTTTGACACTTTCGTGGGAGAGAGTAGAAATTACAAGGTTTGAAGTGAATCACTTTGTTAATCATATGATATAGGGTATATTATGTAGCATACTTCCATTTCTGTATGTACAAAAACCTATAATGCAATCTATCTGAGAGCAATCTCCTAAGGTGATCTTCTTGGGATTATCGCTACTGTGTGTAAACATGTTCACTTAGATAATGGAATCCTTAAATTCAATAACATCTTGTTTCAATAGTGATGCTATGGGGATCTAGCCCCCACGATCCTTTACCTCAAAAGGAAAAAAATAAACCCAGATTAGGAAGACTGAGTGATATTAGTTAATGGTTTAACTCCAAGAGATGACAGTACCAAATTTCTTTTAATCAATATAGATTGGAAAAAAAAAATATGGGAGAAGCATGACATGCCAACTCATCTCACCCTCCGCTATCATATATAGGGTTGAGGTTCTATATGTGTTCCCTATCTCAACAAAATAAGGATAATTTTCAAATCAAAATACAGAATATACGGAACTTGACAGAAATCTCTCATGTTTTCGGCGAAATTTGATGGCAATGTAATATATCTTCAAAAGAGATGATGTTATTTTTTATCTCAAAATAGATTTTTCCCATTTCAGCACTCAGAAATCACTCTCCACGCCGTTGCAATGTTCGAACATGGTCAAACTAATCCTACTAAAAACTGTATGAGTTGAAGAAATCTACTCTTAATACCTGGAATCAGACTGTCGAGTCAACAGATTTTTGTGAACCGAGAAAATCAACTTCGCAATGTTATCTTTTCACAAAAACCAAAAGTTGTTTGTGTTCTTTCATTATTTAATCTATGTATTTTTGTTCCCAAGAAAGTTCGAGACGTTGTTGATATTTTTGAACTAGTTGAATAATTTCTCGTGCTTTCAAAGCTAAAAGTAAGGAGGTAACCAAGGAGACAAAATACTAGAACTTGCCGGGTTAAACTCATCAAGTGTCTCTGCAAAGTTTTAGTTGAGTAAGTACGTTAATTTCTCTAGTAAAGCCACCGAGATCAACAAAGAAATTGTCACAAATGGTCAACTCAAAATTTTAACGGAATATTTTCGTTAATTCTCTAGTAAAGCCACCTAGATCAACAAAGATATTGTCTCAAACGGTCAACTCAAAGCTTTAGTTGAGTATTTTTTGTAATTTCTCTAGTAAAGCCACCGAGATCAACAAAGAAATTGTCACAAATGGTCAACTCAAAATTTTAACGGAATATTTTCGTTAATTCTCTAGTAAAGCCACCTAGATCAACAAAGATATTGTCTCAAACGGTCAACTCAAAGCTTTAGTTGAGTATTTTTTGTAATTTCTCTAGTAAAGTCACTTACATCGATATGGTGACAAAAGGTCAACTCAAAGTTTTAGTTGAATATTTTTTGTAGTTTCTCTAGTAAAGTAACCTAGATGAACAAAGATATTGTCACAAACGGTCATTTAGAGGAGTGACTCCTTTAGTTTCTTTGATAAAGACACCTAGATAACAAAGACTTTTTTTTGAAAATACGGAACTTTCTGAAAACGAAATACGAGAATAGTACTCTCCAATTCCTAATTTTCCTTACTTAGAGAGCCTGCTTACCATCCCTGTGTAGAAAAAATGTGGTTACAGTATTCACAACCTTTTGGCTCTAGTGATGTGTCCCCTCTTCTTAGACAGTTCAGTCTGGGATGCTCATCATCACCCATGTGCCCCATAATGTTGGAATGACCAGAAAAGTTCTAGTGGCACATGTTGAGTAGAAGGGTCCACCTCACAAACGCTTCCACATACACAAACGAGGAAACCTCACCATCACTAGTCTTTTCATGGGGCAATGGAAATAATTAGCTCTGGATGGAACTGGGTAGATCTGATTGTACCGACCTCGCCATACCCTGTAAACACTCGACCAACTGCAGTGATCATCATTAACGCGGTTGTCCGCGAAGAATTCTGTCCATATAAATGCAGATTACTGGAACCGCCCCTTGCATGCTATTCTAACACGTCATCTCTGTCAGATTTTGTCTCTTCTTCACGGTAAACCCAATACTTACATTGACGAAGTGAAAGGTCAACGAAGAACAATGAGAGGAAGTGAAGAAGTCCTCGAACGAGCGATGGAGTTCAGCCACAGACAGAGGACAAACAACGGCCACTCTTCTGCGGGAAATAACCGTTGCGTGACTGGAGTTTAAACCTCGGGCATTGTTGTGGCCGAGAGTTGATGCAATGCCGTGCAATTCACAAGCTGCCAAATTTTGCCCTCCTCCCGATCCATGGCATGTTCATGAACACAATGTGCAGTATTCTGAATCTCCACGGTGCATTCTGGTGCTTAGAAATCCTCATCTGAACTCCATCTTTAGCCTGTGGTTCTCGATCGTCATCTCCTCCTCGTTATCCCTCGCCTCGGTTGACTAACGCACTATTTAGCTTCTGGGAGACGACGCCTCGAAGCATTGCACTCATCTCTCTTCGGTGTTTTCCCCCTGCTCGACCTTGGGATCCAGCTCCTTCACGATGGCTTCCGTCGTCGCATCTTCTGCTATTGTGACCCCGGTCGCAGCTCTCGCTGCTTCCTCCACCACCAGGAGCTCCGAGATTGTGTCCGTCAAGGCTGGTCTCAAGGCCGGAGTTTTGGGTGGAAAGACCGAATGGCAATCCAAGACCCAGACCAACGGCAGCCGAGTGTCCTGCATGCAGGTATGACATTGACTCTCACTGTTTGAATGCGATGATGAGGTCGGCAAATGTAAATGCGATCATTGCAAAATGTCGAATGGCCTCTCGTCCAGCAAGATATATACCCGGACCTCACATTTGTCTGCCAATGCTCGCTTGTTCAGGTGTGGGAGCCATACAACAACCTGAGGTTCGAGACCCTGTCCTACTTGCCCCCTCTGAGCCAGGATGCTTTGGCCAAGCAGATCGACTACGTCATCAAGTCTGGCTGGGCTCCCTGCATTGAGTTCGACACCGTAAGTTCTTCATTCCAACATTTTCTTTGTGTCTGTCAGTACTGTACCGCGAAGTGTATGCAAAGTTTTGATGATGAGATCACCTCGAAAGCGTTGTTCTTACCGGTCCTGTCTTTATTGTCTGTTCTACAGCAAGGAGCTGTGTCCCGTGAAGGAAGCACCATGCCCGGATACTACGATGGTCGCTACTGGACCATGTGGAAGTTGCCCATGTTCGGATGCACCGACTCTGCTTCAGTGTTGAGGGAGATTGAGGAGTGCAAGAAGTTGTACGGACACAAGTGCTACATCAGGTGCTTGGGATTCGACAACACCAGGCAGGTGCAATGCGCCATGTTCATCGTCCACCAGCCCACCGACAAGTAGATCATTGTATGCTCTCTCAGGGCACTACAAATTAGCCGACTTGAAATTTTTTATGTTTGAGAGAACGGGTCCAAGCAACTGTGAATTGCCAGCTGAATGCTTCGGACCGGGGACCTGATGGTCCGAAATGCATATGGCTACAGAGCCCAGAACTCAACGCGTCCTAACGATGTAATTCACGCTTTGAGTCTGCGGACCACGGTTCACTGTTTAATAAATTGGGAAATCCCGCGATTTTGACAACTTGCAAAATGTAACTACAGACATATCTCCAGTTCATTCGACAAATATAAACTATGTTAAATTGTTTGCCCGGTTATCTTACGTTGCTCATTATAGTGTGAATTGTACAAGCATCTAATCCGAAGCGGCCCATAACATCGTGAATTTAGTACATACCAACTATCCCTAATACTGAACTTCGCACAGGTAAGTCGTCAATGTAAAAAAATATGAAATCATGTTGGGTCGAAGAAAAAACTAATTAAATGAACCATAGTTCAACATCCTTAATTATCCTCCTTTAAGAAGGTCAAAAATTAGAAAATAATATATATAAAATATTAAAATAAATACAGAAATACATATATATAAAAATGCAATAATAAACACATGACAATATCCATCTCAATCTACAACTTTTACTTAATCATACACTATACTAAATACATGTCGTCAATCATCAGTGGACAAAAATATCAACGCCAGCGAGCAGGCAAGGAATCGGATAGGACATGAAAGATCAGTTGCAACACATACTAGCGTGAAGTATCCATCATCACGTGACATCAAAAAATCACAATTTCAACTGCATCGTATATAATTATCCCATAATTTCCAAATGAAGATGGAGTGAAATGAACCCGAACTAGAACACTAGAACCTTCACAATTGAACAATAATAATGTGGACGGCTGGATCAAGTTTAAGCCAATCACCATTGTTGTTTTAAAATATCTTTTGAAAGTAAAAAAAACTCTAATACATGGATTAGACAAGAGATTCGCCTACTTGAGGGGAGACTATTATAATTAATTATGGTGTGTGCAGTATACAACCCAGGCAAGAGGACCAGCTTCTTCTTTCATCCCTGTACCTCACCTGCACAAAAATAATACCAACTTGAAACTTCTCTGCAATTGACAAAATTCAAGTACAAAAAAAATAATGTGATATTCATGTCTAAAATGGAACAATATGAGTACGACAGGAAACTTTACAAAGGAATAATACCAAACATAGATGCAAAAGAAAAATAGTACCACGCAATTGTTCATGGACTAAAAATCGGTTCTCAACGCCAGGATTGGTTTGTTGTAGGTAACGTCCGATGAGCAGCCTTCGTCAGGGAAGTCCGGGTCTAAAATATCTACCGAATAGGTCATGGCTGATCTCGGGAAATCGAGACGAACGTAGCCCTTGCCGAACCTCGAAGGCCTCAAGAAATGAGGAAGTAGAAGCCACCAAAAGGAAGCTAGGATGAGTGAAATCCCAAGCGAATCCGAGAGACATTATGCTGCTTCGCTGCAGTAATAACGAAGACAGGTGATCCCGAGTCAACGATTCACCCAACCTCCCAAACTTGCAGGATCATGTTTAAGTCTTGGCCAAGTGAAACGGATGCCCACAACATGTCCCAAAGGAAGGGAGAGAGTCGAGACCTGCAAGTTTATAGCAGTAGCTCCTCCTTGCAATCTACAGCAGTCTTCGAGAAAGAGCTATCCATCCAAGACGATCAACATCGTGCTGAAGCCTGCTGACATTTTATGCTCATGAGCGTCTTTGAGTATCAAGATTCGTGATGCTCCGTGATGCTCGTCGTGAGCCAAACTCTGAGAGTCCAAGTTCTAGCAAAGGCAACGCGTCATTACATTTACAAGACATTAGTTGGTGACCCTCGCTAAAAAAAGGGAAGAAACAGTTCGGAAGCTCGTGCTGGTCGAGGTAGCGAAGCGCACCTAGTACAAAATAGGAGTGTGATCAGTCGACGCCCTTACGGACTGTCAGCTTCCCTGTGGACCAGGTCTCGTTGGTCCAAGTAGTTGATGTTCGTTGGATAATTTAGGAGGAGCCTGTACAGACAGTGCCGAAAGCGTGATATCCTCCTCCAGTCATGTGCATGCCACCAGAGGTTGACTCCAGAGTGCAGCTCCTTTCTACGACAGTTCTTGGGAACTAAATACGATTCCTTACTGCCGACATGCGACCATTCGGGAAAGGGGAGCAGTCCGAGCCTTCTGTTTGACACACGAAGTTGCTGCGAACGAAAGACCCGCAGCTGGTGATGCTGATGCTGCTTCTTCCGGTGATGGGAACTGAGAAGATGAGTTGTTCTGCTTTCCACCTGGATGGTTGATTTGCCGCTGCAGAGAGTTCTATTCTTTAGCAGTCGTCGTAGCTTGGAGTGACATTGGCTGATTCTCGGTCTTGGATCCGATTGTCGAAGGCAGTCGAGTCGTGCGAGGGTGCGCTAGCTAGGTAGGGCTATGAACCTCGATGTCCGTGTTCTGCTCCGTCCGCATTCGGTAGGAAGTCCGGGACTCATGACCACCGAGGGACAGGTATCACCCCCATATCCGATGTGCAATTCGAGGCCTGAACCATGAAGGCCTGGCGCCAGTGAAACCCTCAACCCTCAACGCGTGATCTCTGATCTGTCACCAATCCGTCCTGTTTCGTAGGTGTTTGTGGCTCATTTCCTGCTCTGGCTGAATCCTGGACAACCCAACAAATCAGACCGAAAGGTTTCAAATTGCTGAAACAACCCAGTGATTACTCTTCTTCTGTCGTGCAGATCTTTGCCATAGCGTGAACGATCTGTCACTAGCGTGCAAGCGTGCAAGGGACCGGGGACTGGAAATTGGGACAGCCAGAGGATCGTTAGAGGATTGCAGAAGAGGGTTTTGAAACGCCACCATGGCAATGTCCAGAATCGCTTTGCTGCCCAGCGTGACGGAGAAAGTGGCGGATAAGAGCATTATGGATGTGGGAGATGAGATTAAAAAAATTGTCAAGGACCACGGCGGCACATTTCTCAGAATACAGCTGGTGGTAGTTCTGCCCATCACGGCCTTGATGATGTTCTCCGACCACATCTTCCAAAATTTCGCCATCTCGCATCTGCCGGTCCCGACCCCTCACCCGCTGGCCGATACTGAGAGCATAGTCACCTTCACCTTCGGTCGCCTGTCTCCACCAGCGCAGATGTTCAGGCACTTACTCCTCGCTTGCCAAACCTCGCAAGTGTTACAGACGCTGACAGCTGCGATCGCCATAGGATGGCTCAACTTGTACATGTCCCTGCACTGCATAGCTGCGAATATTTACGCAGTTGTAAGCTTCCACAATGGCAAGAACCTCGCCTTCATGGATGTCCTGCACGCCGTGCCTAAGCTGCGCAGCCGGCTCATCGTGACGGGCTATTGGGGCTATCTCTTCACATTTGCAGCCTCATTGCCCCTTCTGCTGTACGACGTCATGTCCTGGTCCAAAGTCCCGGCTTACGTCTTCGTAGTGTTCGGAATTGTGATCGCGGCTGTTTGTTTCGTGGTCAGCTTTTTCACCAGCCCCATTTTTCAAGTGGCGAATTGCATCGCCTGTTGCGAGGAGAAGACAGGCCTTGCCTCGTTTCTCAGGTGTTTCAATCTCTTCGACCGGACGTTGTTGCTCAAAGCCTCTTTCCCTCTGGAATTGTTTCTCCGCGGATTGGGGTCGGGTGCTTACACTGTCCTCGGAGGTATCCGCATGGGACCAATGTCGTACGGTTTCACAGTCGTGGCCGAGTTGATGATTTACAGCCTGCTCACGCAGCTGTCCATCGTGTGCTGGACTTTTGTTTACATTTGGAGCAAGGAATATCGCGAGGAGAGCGTGGATATGATAGTGTTTCCGGATGATCAGTTCAGGGGCCCGTTTCAGCGCATTGGGACAGGCGGACAATCGGCTCGGGATGTGGAAATCGGAGGCCTGGAGGGTTCCAACTGAGAGTTCGATCGCTGACAGTTCTGAAGCATCGATAGAGAGAGTGGTGTCGGCTTGTAAATCGGTAAGGCAGGCAAAACCAACCCTGATGACAACCATTGGCTTGTTGCTCATGGTGTGTTTACAGATGTGCTTCCTCGGGCTCTGGTCCTGGTCCTTCTCATACCTTCTTGTTTTGGCTTCCATATGAAGATGACAAGGAGGTCCATTGAAGCATCTGAGCTCACAACCGCTTCCGCCTCTCAGAAATGTTCAGAGCAATTTGAGTTTGTGGCTTGTGCAGCACGGATTCAGCGTAGTTCAGAACTTAGTAGTCTGGCTTCTCAAAGAGGACTATGAGTATCTCTGACAAATGCAAGGGTGCGTGCGGTTGATGCAAGGTCTGTCAGGTGTAAAACATTGTAGCGTTCGTGACCAAGGAAAGTATAGGTTGTGAAAATGTATATAAATTAGATACATTCTTTGCTGACAATCAAGCCGAACAGACTATAACCCTTCATTGAGCATCGAATGCTGTCTATGGACACTGGGTTTGTTGGTTATGCTCCTTCACCCCACACTTGTCACTCACCCATGGACTTCTTATACAGCAGGCATTGCTTAATGGACCGGTTGGCATTAACTAGGTTTCGTTCTGGCAAAATAGGTCAGAGGATTTGACATTTATTTCTGTCAGAAAACCATACACTGGGATGTTTCTTGTCGATTCAGGAACTCCGAGTATGTCGAAGGAGAGTCAAGCAAACGATCTGGTCAAAGAGCTTATTGACACTGCAAAGTGTAGAACGAACTGGCTGTAAAAGACCTCAAACTAAGCAGTTCAAGGATAGTATCTATCGAGACTTGAGCTTTCTGGGGGAACGATCAGCGCGATAGAGGGCTTAGGGACCAGAATTTTCTTTCCTTTTTGTCATAACTGTTGATTATTTAACCTGCATAGCCTAGGCATTGAGTTGAACAGAAAGGAACGAACGAGACTCAATTCAGGGATGAGTAGAGTTTGCTAGCATCTTCTTTTTCTGCTTCAGAGCTCCGTACTTGCTCAGCTATGGATGTCAAGGACAGAAAACGGCAAATTTGTAGAAATTGTTTCACGACACTAAAACCCTAGATTGACGCTGGTGCTCGTTCCACGTTTTGAGTAGCTTTTGTTAGATCCTTGTAAACACTATCAATCAGCATTAGCATAGCACAGGCTACTAACCTGTCGATTTCCGCTCTTTTATATGTACTTGTCCTCAATGTCATTGAGACAATGTCAACTGTGGAGAAGCTTGACAACTGAACGTGTCCAGTAACCAGACAGTGGGTTTACAGTACAGTACTTCAGACTCGTCAAATTTCTCATGTTGAGATGCCTGAAACCTCCAGGATATGAGAGTGCTGCGCTCAGAATTTTACTTCCACGTCCCCTTGATGATGAGAGTTCTTTTCTTCCTCAGGTCTATATGGTCGAGTCTTAAATAGGGTCGTGGAACAAGAGTTGTTAAGAACCTGTTAATCAATCTAGAACCTACTCAGTTTGCTGGACTCTAAGAATAAGACTTTATACCTCGATGCATTATTTGCAAACAGGTTCTACCAGGAAGGTAGCAAGAGTGACTCCACTGCAAACAGTGCAGTGCGCGTGCATTTCCAGTACGAGTATTTGTGAATTTACGACTATTTCGTGGCCTTTAGGTGAGAAGTCATAAGATTCATACGCACAATAATTGAAATATAATCTTCAAGTGGTAACCATACACTCTACAAGAGGCATGAAAGAATTTAAGATATCGCTCAGAGGAGTTTTAAGCGATGAATGTAATTTGAACACTGCAATACTAGTAGGCTCTAACCTCAATTGCAGTTTGGTTACTTCTACGGTTACTACGAACTCCCAGACTGTTTGAACACCTTGTCGCAGTATCATGGCAACGGGCTCATGAGGTACTGTTATGTTCACTGGATCCTAGAAGGTAAACTGAAATTTTCATGAATACGAGGAAGTAAAGAGTGTTGCACACTTCAAGGCTTGACTAATTCGAAACCCGAGTTGTCATAGATTCGAGCTAATGCAGGAATACTTGTGGACTGAGGATGTCAAAGTCTCAGTGTTTTTAAATTCCATCTCAATCTAGTTGTCATTTTCCTTGAAAGTATCCACCCAAAGTCATATCATGTAGTAAGACTCGGTAAGATCCACCAAATCCTAGCAGAATAATCTAAGTTTTTGCTAAGTTCTTTGCTGTTCGTAGCATCAATTTTTAAGACACTAGAGCTCGATAAGAACTCACGTGCGAGTAAATGTACTTCGATGGTTGGCATAGTAAGAATAATCGTTACTTAGGCTCATACCTCCAAAACAATCATTCTTAATTGATAATTTAGCCTTAGTAATGTCAAACATGAATCTTATTTGTTGTCTTCAGTTCTATATCTGTGACCATGTTTGATCTCTGTCTTCTCCATGAAGATGATTAGCTATGTAACCGGTCACGATAATCCACCAGGTCATATTTCCCTTTCTATCTCAAGCCCAAGCTTGAGAAGATATAAGCTTCAGAGTGTGTAAAGAACAAGTGTTCAAGGATCTCCATATCTGGAATATGGTTCTGTCTGCATCCAGCTGAAGCGGAGTAAAACTCAGCAGCCAGTGAAAAGGTCGGCAGCAAGACATACCATGCGGGATTGGGTTCGAGAATCTTCACGGAACATGCGTACATGATGGAAAATACTCAAACATCCAACACCGACACATAAGGCCATGCGACTCCACTTTCGTCCCCGTAGCAGAAGTATGCAACAGCTTGGAAGCAGGGCGCTCAAAGCCTCAAGCAGGATGCCTGCCTGCTTTGCTTGCTTGCTTGCTTGCTACCCTCCAGGACACAATGCGGGCCACATGCCACGAAGCACTTAGCCCGTCCTCTGATACCACGGCATTTTGTATCGCCTTCGTAGTCGCCCGATGGGGGACCTGCCGTGGCAAAGCGTTCCGAAGCGACCTTCCGAGCGACCTTCCGAGCTCGAGCGTGCTGGCCATGTGCATGGAGGAGGGGGGATGATTTGCATGCCCTTTGGCCAGTCAAAAAAAAATAAAAATCATCGACCGAGCAGTTCTCCGAAAAAAATTCCTCGCATTTCCAAGTGTGAGACACTCGCGCACGAAAAGTCGACTTTGTTCGGTACACAGGGCACACCGGCCGACCGTTCAGGTGCCCATCATGTCCATGAGGCAACCAACCACAGGCGCCGCTGTGAACCCGGCCACAGTAATCGTAGTCGACCGAGAGAGGAAGGAAGGAAGGCCCGGTCTACGATCCCTCCCCCGCCTGCCCCTAAAGCTTCCAGACTATTTTCAGCAGCAGCAGCTGCTGCGCGATCGTTCGAGTGTTGCGTGCGCCACCTGATCAATCATTTACGGTCAGGCTAGAGCCCGTAAACAAATGTGACTTCATCCGCCAAAGGATCGACGAACCGCGAGCCGGCACATGAAGACTCATGCACCGGCTTAATCATTCCCTCCGGACCTGGTTCCTGATTCCTGGTTTGCCAAGAACGACGTGCAGGACCGAGGGAGGGAGGGAAGGCGACGGGGGGAAGAAGATCGGGGAACCCCCCTGCTCATGGAACTTGCATAAAGAGTCAACTTCCGAGCAGAGCCGAGTGTCCACAATTATTGGGAGGGTGGCACTGGATGAGATCGACGGCCTCGATCGCATCGCCACCTCTGACGTCGATCCTCTGCGTGCGGGCGCACATGTGCGATTCGGGCAGATGGCACTCCGGGGCTTCGTTTGCTGCCCGCTGCCCGCTGACATGGCGCAAGAGCCCCATTCGGCCGAACCCGGGGACTCTTTCGGATTCGGATCGTGTGGCTTTGGAGGGGCGAGATCGGAAGATCGGGCAGATGGAAGCCATGCCCGAGCTCAGCCTCGCTCCACTGAGGGCCGGTCGCTCGATTTCCGTCGCCGTGGCCTTTCAGGCGAGCTGATGTGGCCAGAGGGGGATTGGGACGATCCCATTGAAGGCTTCAGCGACTTGGAGGCGAGATCGCGGGCCTACTGCCTGATCCGGTTTCAGGTGTCTTCAGGTTCCGACAGAGCCCCGAGAGCGCAACGCAGCTACGCGGTCAGTCGGTTCCCTCAAAGGGAAAGGTCGGGCGGGTGGGCGGGCGGAGCATAACGGACATGATGGAGGCGGAGATCCATCTGTCGTCACGGAGCCGGGTCGAGCTGCTGACGCTGGATTCATTCTCCAGCTGCCAGCGCAGCAGAGTCGGCGACCTAGATTCGGGTGCATCAGCGCCCTCCGCGCGGGCCTTGAACGGCGCGGGCCCCTCGCTGGCCACCTCGGACCGCGACACGTCATTGTCGCATTTCTCTTGTGGCAGCGGAGGTGGCCCCTTCCGGTTGTCATGTCAGGCAGTGCTCTCTATACGGAGCGGTACTACGCCTGCGAGGTGGTAGGCCGGTCGCCCATCATTGTGAGTCCTCTCGTACCGCCGGTAGCAGTTCGCGCTTCATGAGTGCTGCGAATCGCGATTTTGAGGTGGCGCCAGCCTCTTGGCCACAATCCTCGGCCTCGAGCTTCGCATCCTCGCTGCCCGCTTCGAACTGGTGCAGACTCGCAGCTCCTTTTCTTCTTGAGCTGAGAGACAAAAAATCTGTGCGTCGTTTCAACGCTTTTCTCAATGCCTCCATTTTCCGTCGACAAGCGTCCGCACCGCAGATTGCCAGGGCCTGCTCCAGTCCAACAACCTTCGCAGATTCCATAATTAGGTGTGTTATGTTCTCCTGCGACGACCGTAAATTCGTCCCATCTTTATTACGGGCGCGGTGTGTTGTAAACCGACATGTTGCCGAACTAATCGTGGTTACTTGCATTCAAAGCCTTGGGTACCACGTACGTTATGATTGTACGATCGCTCAACATTACCTGTCGATCTCGCGACCGTGCATGCGGTGCTCCATACAAACAACACCTGACATTTCACGGCGCCCGCATCATATTTGCGGGTGCCACTGACTCAACAACACCTCTCCGCAACAATGTCAACTGCTTCAGAGCCCATGAGTATGAGATTCACCAGAATTTCAGGCTTAGTAATAGTGTATAAATTTATTCAGGATTTAACAGTTTCGCATTTTCCTACAAATCGACTCGTCCAGACGTCGAAACTACGTACTTCTTCTCGGGTCCGAAACATCATGACTACTTCTAATCCCCCAGGTAACAATGAACTCGAGCATATCTCGATTCACACTCGGCTCAAATAAAAACATCTAAAAGCAAGCCCTTCATCGCTTCATTGCCTTCAACTTTCCCTGCCGACTGAAACCGAGCACCTGTCGCGATGACGCTGGGACACTTGACTCGACCGAGTTCCACCATGCTATTTCATACGGTGGCGCAAAATATATGACAATCAAACCTTTGCGACTTCTTGTAGTATAAACAGTAAGAGTGGGAGTATCTCCAGAGCTGTGTAAAAGCGTTGTCAATAAAAGAGAACATCTACTCGGAAAACGTGGCTGCATTCGCTATTTCATGAGTACACCTCACAGTGACCTCAAAAGCTCCACGGCCCATGCGCTAACTGGCTCGCACTATTAGCGTATCTACTGAACCTGTGCCTGGGACAAATCCCCAATCTAGCGAACTTTGTCGTAGGTGGATGGTAGCTACGTCCGTATGAAAAGTTCCCAATTAGACAAAGTCTAGAGATTAGTCCCAACAACATTAACTGCTCCCAGTTTCCACGTACGACACAGGCCCGGGAGACATTAGAACAAAGACCTAATCTGAAACACACAGCAACCCGTCATTAAGTAAAGGGTGATACAAAATAACATGCACACGGAAAGGTTACACAAATTCGAATTTTTTTTATATTTCAGGCTCAAGGCCCAGAAAGTTGAATTTGCGGCCAGCGAGAGCTCGACCTCTTTGGACATGAATTCAGAAAGAGCGAAGACGTGACTTACGTCGTATAATGAGAAGTAGAGTACGTCTTCAATGGCAACTTCAAGTGTAGCACGCTCTACAACCATCTTCATCGAGAAATATCACGTGAAAATTTCTCTTCAGACTACCTTGTCCTTTCTTCGACTCGAAAAGCTGGACTTCCACGACATTTACACTAGAGCACCCACCCTTGGCTCGTAGAAGCAAAAGCTGTCGAATATGAAAGCCGAGCGGCCCATGTACAGCGAAGGTGAGATAGCAGGAAGAATATGCCAGGAGCCCGTGGCCAGGTTCCCCATTATAGCCCTATTCTTCTCACCTCTACTCGGATGCACGCAGATGAAATCCTCACAGGCCAGAAAATCATACGACCCCACAGAGGTAACGAACAGATCATTTGGCATCTTGTGTTCCAGCACCCACTCGTAGGTGGTCGGATTCAATTGCCATATGAACACTCCTCTGCCGCAGGTATCGGTCTCACCAATCAACATGAGCCGGCCCCTGTTGCCGAACAGGCGGGGTATCCACTGCCGGAATGTCGGCCCTATGCAGACGGGCAGATCCAATCCATACGCCTCCAAGGATTCCCTCCCGTCATATTTGTATAGTACTACGTTTTTCGAGTTCGAGATGACATGTTTCTGTGCCAAGAACAAAAGATGTCCATTCAGAGCAAATGCATTTTTGAAGCGGACGCCCTGTGGAAAGCCCCTGGTCATAAACCATTGCTTCTTCAAAGAATCGTAAATTTGTATTCTAGGAAAAGTCGGTACAGGCTCACCGCCTGTACCTTTCTTTTGAAGTTCTTCCGCTATGATGAAGTACTGTCCCAGGCCCATATCGTCCACGACCATTTGGCGGACATCGAAATGAGACCAATCCAGACCGGGAATTCGTCTCTCCGTCTTGGTCAAGGGATTCAAAATGTAGAGACATTTTCCATCGATGGATTGCTGCGTGGTCAAAAACAATCCTCTCGTGCTGGAAATTACAGATGCGTGCACGGACTGAAGAAGATGGAATGGTCGCCACTTGCGTAATTGTAAATCAAAAGACAAGAGTGGTCTAGAGGAATCGGCATCCCACAGTAAGTAAGGCACGGAGGCCGGACTCATTGCGTTTTGAGTTTCGTATGCGGACGAGATACTCTGAAATTCGAGGTCTTCCAAAATCGTATTCCACCGCTTGCAGACACACCGGAGCAATAGTAGATTACGCACTGGCAATTTTCCCAGAATTTTGCAGACAACTTCCTTGGAGATGTACTTGCCGCCCATCATAAGCCCCTCATCGTTGCTACTGCTGCTTGTGCTAGAGGATTCCATACTTCTAACCTAATGCTTGCCAAGTTCACGCCGATGTGCTCCTTAAGACAACCTTCTCGAGAACCTGCTGAGACTCATCCGAAACTTCTCATCTAAACCTTTCCTTAAGAGGGCTTAAACCCCAACCTTCCAGCCGCGTTATGCTCACCTTCATTTTCAATGTTGCTATCTGAATGGCCAACAGCTCGTTCCTCAAAGCAGTAAGAATCTTCCTCGCTGCGATGTGTAATAGACAGTTCAATGTTAGACCATAAACCCGCACAAGAAATGATGACTCAGTTCGTTGTTTTCCTCAGATGGTGTCGAAATCTTGTTCCTGGAAGTGCGTACCGGCCTGCATGCTGCACAGCTGAAATTACAAAATCATCCTCATTCCTGTACTACTTTGACTCGCTTACAGCAGTGGCAAATGTTTCAGCTCGCTCTCTTCCCTCCGTTCCTTTTGCAGAACTCGACCGCCCATCCCACAATCTACAAGACTGCAACCACAATTTCAATCCAACAGCGGTGGCAAATACTTTCCTCGCTTAGTCCCGGCTCCTTCACTTCCCTTCGCGTCCCCTTCTTCGTTGTTCCTGTCAATTGCCGTCCAGAAGCGAGAGCACGGGTCCAATGCGTGGTAGACGGACGAAATGGCTCGAGTATTTTGTGAGGATCTTCTCCTCCTTTGTCGCGAGGGCGACCTCCTACAAAGTACAACGTTCCATGGCAAAATCGGTTGCATTGACTTCATCACGTAAGTGTGAGCTGCCCCCGCCCCCAGCTCACAGTGGCCCCCAAATAAAAAAATTCCCTCAGTGAAGAAGGCCAATCTGTTTATAGAAGTGTACTAACATGTGGCTATTTTGCAGAAGACAACGACTCGAGAATTGCCGCGAATTTTTACGCACCGTCGATGTGTAAGGCGCTTTTGGCTGAGTCAAAAGCCAAAGCCAAAAGCGTTGCGGGAAAAGAAGAAAGCGAAAGAAGAAAGCTCACAAGAGCGTGACATCTGGAGACCCGAGAGGAGAACATGTGGCGGTCTTAAAGTTCGACGAAAGCGTGTCAAAGTTCGCTTCGCTGCCCACCTGGACACGATAAAGCTTGGGCCTGAAAAAGCTGACAGTAGCCTCTGACCTGAACAGCTCATGCTAATTTCACCCCGTTGGATATGCCCCTGCGACCTAGCGTCAGGCGACACGTACCCATAGCCAAGAGCCCGGCTTCTTACAAAAGGACAGACGAATTCAAGAGCAGAGGGACCAATACGCCTAGCAAACTGCGGGAGAGCGAGACACCTCTTCGCCATCTTTATGGACCCCGTACGCCCGACTGTCCCCATCACCCTCTTGGGCAGCTTCCATGGACCTCGCCTTCCAGAACCATGCCTCCTCCGTTCATCATGATACCGGATTCACAAGCTCCCTCTATACCCCCAGCCGGGCCTCGGGAGAGATCCCACATTCACGATAATTTGGGATTTTAAGAACGAAACATAAGTATGAGGTCCCTGGCCACACGCTCCCTTCAAGTACTCGTGTTGTCGCATTTATATTGTTCTTGGGAGGTCGATGAGAGACAAGGAGTGTTGTCATTACTGTAGAAGCCTGTATGGGTACCATTAGTACAGGACTGGGATGTTAAAACAGAACAAGAGAGGTTTTCAAATTTGAACACATCTAACCCGATAGGAGGGACCTGTGCATTAAATTCTCATTCATACTCCTCACCGGTTCACTGGTCCAGGATGAGAATATTCATATCTGTATCTTGTTTTCGGTCCAAATCAATAGAACTGGTCACGTTTACCTTTAGCTCTCACTATTTTTCCGAGATACCCTACAAAAAATTATCTGGAAATACACTTTACTGTAGTTATGTATAAAATTGGCACGGCTACCCATAACTTGGGTTTGTCCTTTAAGGAAAATGATGAATGGTTTATCTATTGAGACGAAAATCCAACGTGTGTGCTGTAAGAGGACCAAAATTGGTCTGTTGTACAGAAAACACAACCTGCACAATGGTATAACGACTCAAAAGACAAGCTGGAACTTTTATGCTACACAGTTCATTTTGAGTTGACAGCTTGTGTAATTAAGGTTTATACTCCACTCGCTTATATTCTCTCTTCGTAGGTTTCTACAGCAGAAAATTGAAATTCTGATGGCCACACTTTACATGGGAGATGTTCTATACTTTGTGTCAGGTACTGTACGATACAACTGATATGGAAATCATGTGCTAAATCTACCATCAATGTAATGAAGGTGATATAATCAGCTAATTCACCTTCACCAAGCTTGAGACCCTATCACCAAATTATAAGGGAAACTGTTCAATGTCAGCCAGCTTCACAAATTAGTATTCTGTACAAGCTAACTCGCTCCGGACTTCCTCGCCATATCCAGGCTATATTTGGCAAACTCAACAGTTCAGGCTACTTAAGCCATACCATTGCTCGACATTTTATCTCTTCCAACAATCATGTACAGTATGTCATTACGACAAGTACGTAATTGTACATAGTCACAAAGCACAGCATTATTGATACACTTGTATTTAATGCAAGTCCAAAGCGCTTTATTCAAATTATAAGATATTTTTTAAGGTGTGCATACTTTCACTCTAAATTTAGATATAGTTACTCGTACTGTTATATAAAAAGTAATTCATACATATATCTAATTTTAGAGGTGAGAATCATATTATAATGAGGAATAAAATGAACTGCCAAACTGAAGTATTGTTGCTTATAAAATTGATGGTAAAATACAATATCTAGCTGCGTCTGATATACTTTTCAATTGCTATATGCTTGTAATATCATATCAAGATTCAGCTTTTCTCTCAAATTCTTTATCTTTTGACTAAGTATATAAGTCAAATACATATACAAATTCTTATCTCCATTCATTTTATTTTCAATAGAGGCTTCATTTCATCAAGCAACTACTCTAATCTTATTTAATTGCACCTACGTATCTTATTTCACATTGTCATTGAACTTTTGTCTAAATGTCTACAATTTTTTCATTAGCTTAGATGTCAAGAAATATGTACCGCTCTTTCTGATTTTCGTTTTTTCTCTTTAATTGTCCATCTCATGAGCAATTGCTCCAATTATTTTGCTTTTAAATGATTGCATATATACGTCCTATTTCTCTTTCTCATTCAACTTCTGTTTAGATCTCTACATCTCCTCATTTTTACATATCTGAAAAAATCATTATAACTCGATCTGAAACTCCATTCTTTCTCTTCAATTTCCATCTCATTAGACAAATGCTCATATCATTAATTGATTTCTTGTATATAGTTATGTCTATGTACCGCCGATAGTGGAAATCTGTCATCCATCTCCACTGCCTTCTCTTAACGGAAGTACTTCAGATATTGAATCTTCTCCTCATTCTGATCACACTTTGATCATGAGTCTCTAAAATGTTTTATAATTTAACATTTTGAATATCCCCTTCTGAGCCTTAACCTCGGCAGCCATTTTGTATTTCTAAACTTCTCTAAAGCTTGTACAGTCTTAGTGGATTATGACATCTTTATTTTCGCTCAATTCTATGAGTGGTCTTCACCAAATCCATGAGAAATAATTGGATCTAGATTAGCCTGAAATATAACAAACCAGTCGATATGATTAACACAGAGTTCGCCTTTGAATCTAAATTCTTGATATGATTACATTAAATAGAATCAAGTTCAGCCATAGTGTTATAGGGCACGTTTTGATGTCGATGGAATATTCAAGCAAGAAACAAATACACCATCGAGAGGTTCATTGACGAAACTCAGGATTAGGATGGGGCTAGGCCCCAATAGCATCACAATGGTCCATCATGTCCAAGCTTATGCATTTGTCAGTCTTCCCTCTTAATAATCTTGTCTCAAACGGACAAATAATCCGGAAATAGAAAGAAAAAAAAGTTATAGCTCTTGAATTCTTCTCAACTCGACCAACTCCAGTAATATATGACATGTAGTAAATTTAAACACTTCCATCAAACACTATACAGTAAGTCAGCGTTGTAATTTGGATACCAATGTTATCTTCACCACTCAAAGTACTAAATTTTTTACTCCCAAAGTTATGGTACACGTCCTCCTGGTTTTGGAAATAATCCCTTTTAAAGTGACTATTTGTTCCAAATTCCATCGTTTATCAAACTATTGGATGAAGTCATGCAACTTGATTTTATCTCAAATATTTAACAATTATACAGTTTACATTATTTGGTGTCCATAGATCTTATATGTGCCACAACCAGAGTGTAACAGTAAGTTTTAAGATATCACCTACGACATCAACTCACAATATCTCAAACATTTTTATGTTAATACACTCTAAAACATAGCTAACTCTACAATCTTCTTGAAAATTTCAGTTGACTTCACTATGACAACTATATACTACTGTACCTCAAGTTTTAACATCAATCAAAAGTCACCTAACATAATTAAAGTCTCAACAGATAAGAAGATATCACTAAGTGCCTACACAATATCATCTCATCACCACATGCACGACCAAACTCGCAAGTATGCAAATAAACCTGAGACAAGAATATCAATATTTCAAACATAAAAAATAAATTATGATTTGTCAAAAAATAAATGATCAAATGACATCAAATTGATAAAAGATGTATGAACTATTTAAAATTTCTGGTGAAAAGGCCAAAATATTATAATTAAATAATCTAAATCAGTATATTGAAGATTAAAGAATTTGGATTTTCAAGTTTGATAGAAAATGCATAGAATTGTTTTACAATTGTTATGTCTTTACTTGTGAAATTCATTGAAAATAATATCAAGATTATAAAAATTCTAATTTTTTAATCCAAACATTATAAATTCATCGTAAAAGATTAATTGGATACAAAAAGTACATTAATAAATTTTATTCTTCTTGAAATGTAGGGAGAACATATAAACATAAACATCTTGGTGAGAATTGAAGTTTTAGCCTTGTACTCAAGTACAAAAGTAGTGAAGCCTGCAATTTTGTCTAAATATCCCCAAAAATAATAAAAAAGCCACAGAATTACCATTTTCAATTTGTTGAAAATTATATTAATTATAATTATATTTGAAATTTTTTTGAATTTTTAAGCAAATAAAAATTTCATTTAGCAATTATGATAATTTTATCACAAGAAATACAAAAAATGAAACAAAGTATGAACTTTTTCTTTAAATGGAATTTTCAATATTCAAAAGTATTCAGATAATAAATTGATTTCAAAAAATATAATTCGAATCAAATAAATATTTTTGTATAATTTTAATAACTTCACACAAAACCTTGTTTCAATAAGTTTCAGTTTTTTTCAATTTTTTTATCATTTAATAAAACATCTGAACTTAAGCATTTTTTTAAGGTTTGAAAGGTAACTAATTGATAATCAAATAAACCATAAGTAATTGATGAATTAAAAAATCGATCATTTTGATTTATATTTGATTTAAAATAAGTATTAAATTTAATGTATTAATATTGAAGATGTAAATTATGAAATGAATATAAATCTGAACTAAGAAAAAATTCAAAAAAATTTTCATGTAACATCAAGTAAAAATAAAAAAAACATACCATTAAATGGAAATTTATATGGATCTATAATTTAAAAAAAAAAATTATTATAAATAATAAAATTTTCTTTCATACAGAGCAATGAGTTGATATATTGATCATGAAGCAATAATGCGCTTTTAATAAAAAATAATTTGTAAATCATATAAAATCAAAAACTATTTGGATCAGATCTATGCAATTATTTTTTCAAATAACTCAATATATTATTTATTTATTCAAATATTCATTACTGATAACAATTAGTAAGATTTTAGTATTTTAATATTTGTACATATATCAAAACTATCGATTTTTTATCAATTTTATTCATATTTATAGTATTTTTTAAAAATGTCAAAAATACTAATTGCATGAATGCACAAGCCAATTATATTCTTTAACTTAATTATTTTATATTTTGTTCAGATTATTGTTTAGAAAATTGTATGTCAATATATAGAAACAACTACTGTTATACATGCTTATTATGAATTTCTTTTCCATAATTTCTTCTATAAAATTAATTAGATAAAATTAAATTTTTTGTATATTTTCAATGCTACCTATTCTATAAGAAAACATATTTTATTTTAGAATTACATTGAAAATATTTTTTTGAAATATATTTGAGCAAAATATATTTTAATAAACAAATATATTTCCTCCATTTTTCTCCATTTAATTTTGGATGAGTATTTGAAAATATTTGTAAATTAATTAAATATAAGCAAAAATTTCATCATTCCATATTT